AAACTGTCACCTAAAGACCATAGAAAGAACATTGAGTGAGGAGCCTATGCCATGCTTTCCAAATTCAGAAATTTTTCACGACCTTCGTGAGACCAAAACTGGAATGCAACGGTTGTATGGTGCCCATATCTAAAGAAGCACATCAATGAAGCGGAAAAGGTGCAAAGACATGCAACTAAATGGTTTTCGGATCTGAAATACAAGAGCTACGAGGAGAGGCTAAAGGTGTTAAATATACCAAAGCTGGAGGATAGAAGAAAAGGTGATATGATGCTGATACTGTATATTCTACTATGTTCTACTACTAGACATATATTCTAATATGTATGTACCTTACCTAAATAAACATTTATTTATTTATGATCACTACACACAAAATAGCAACAGGAATCAACAAAACTGACAAAGAAGAATTTTTGAAACCTGCATCTTCAAGATTAAGATGTCACAGACTCAAGTTAAGGAAACAAAGTTGTCAAAAAACATGTTCTCTTTGAAAGGGTGTTAGACAGTTGGAACAAGTGAGGTGGTGGTGGATGCCAAAACCATCAGTAATTCATCATATGACAAAGAGTACCAGAAAGATGGGAGATCAAGTCTGTAGCTCTAATCCTGTAAACTTCTCTTTGGTAACTACACTTAAGTAATTATCTCCACTGGGACAAGGTACAAACAAAACACACAGAGATCACACTAACGTGATGCATCAAATGAACAAATCCACAAAGGCCGTGACGAGGATTCGAACCTGCGTCCGGGAGCATCCCAGACACTGCCTTAATCGACTGAGCTACGACAGGGTTAAAAGGGTTGAAACCGAAGTTCTACTGAACTTCAGTGCAGGGGGGGGGGTTGTGTAAAAGCCTGGTTTGTGCCTCGGAGAGGCTACGGGATCCAGTAAATTCAGTAGAACTTCGGTTTAAACCCTTTTAACCCTGTCGTAGCTCAGTCGATTAAGGCAGTGTCTGGGATGCTCCCGGACGCAGGTTCGAATCCTCGTCATGGCCCTTGTGGATTTGTTCAAGGTACAAACAATTTGAAGGGGATACACTGCTGATATGTACTGAGAGAGAATCCTAAAAAACAGGACATACTTGCAGTAAAGAAAAGAAAGGAAGAGGGAATGGTGCCTACCAGAGGGGCAGAAGTCTGAGAAGCCAAGAAATTCTATCATGTTTGTGAGGCAGGATTTACTGAACCCATGTTGTTGCTGTGCGCACCTGTGTATGTTAGTGAGCGTGTAAATAACATCAATGTATTTTATTTTTAATCACCTAATTGTACAGCCTAATTATCAATTGAAAACAGAAATTATTTATAAAAATGAAAGGCCTTATAAAAGCAGTTACTGTATAAAGCATATACTGTACTGTATATAGCACCACCGCATGTATGTAAAATTCTCAAGTGGAATGTCTACTGGCACGTGCGGTTATATGTATTTTTTGTTTACTATTATATGGTTTCCATAGCCTCATGCTAGGCTGACCAACGTTCCTCTGCACTCAAGAAGGTGGAGGCACGTTGAGTGCCAGGCTGCTTCTTACCATCCCCATCTCACAACCGGATCGTCCAACCCCTTTACCTGCCCGCGTCCCGTCTCGTTCCACCCACAAACAGCTCCAGCCCCCCACTCTATTTGCTTGCCCTGAAATGCTGTGCATATTAGTGGCTTTAGGCATAGTATGTACTAGCTCTATCTAGAAATCCAACATTCTGTTTGTAACTCATCTTGTATGTATGTATGTACTTTTACCTGAATAAACATTTATTTATTTATTTATTTCATTATTTATTTATTTATTTAGTATGGCACAAGCGGGAATAAAGGTGTTGTAGGGACCATTCGAAGTACTGAAGACAATACTGATAATGGGGATCCTGTTGGGACAGGACACTAGTTTCAATATACTGTATAAGCTCTGGAGAGGGAACAAATGGAAGGCACCAGTGCTGAAGCAAAGCCCCATATGATGCAAAGCTCAAGACGAGAAGGGGTTAAATGCAAAGCCTACAATGCACGAGAGAACTATGGTCTAATTTAGACAAAACTAGGAGTGCAATGAAGGAGCATGTGCCTATCAGTCCCCTAGGAAGAATTGAAACAAGACTTTGAATAAGGAAAGGGCATTGAAGCATTCAGTTCAACGGTAAGGGATATAAGGCGATCAAGACAAGTGGTCGTCAAAGATCAACTGTAAGAACTTATTAGCACTATTTTAAGGAAAAGAATGTAGTGATTCAACTGTATCAATCTCAGGTGCAACCCCCATTTGGATTACTGAATCAAGGCATGAGGACCTTACTTTCAGAAGGACATAGCTGCTCTGGATTAAGTGAAACACCAGGCAACAAAAGTAATTCCAGAGCCAAGTTATCTCTCATATCAGAAACGGTTGAGGGCCACAGGCCAACACTGCAAACCAGGCATGACAGGGTAGATCTCATTGAAACTTTTAAAATACTGAACAAGTTGGAGGATGTTGATTCTGACAATTTCTTCAAAATATCTGATGTAACACAAACAAGGAACAATGGCTTCAAGCTCAACAAACCTCAATGAGGGACTGAGAACAGGAAACACTTTTTCACCCACAGGGTTATAAACCCATGGAACTGCCTACCTGTCGAAGCCATAAATTCCAAAACAGTGTTAGTATTTCAAATTTACCTGGAAAAAATTATCAAGGGAAATGGGGGGGACCTTCGACAAGCTGCCGGCTTCCCGTCCTTGTCGAGGCCACTATTGTTAGTGGCTCTCAGATAAATCAAATAAACACAAGATGATTCTCACACTGTGACAAGGAAGGATCAGGATGACATGCTGCCTTCCTCAAAGTCTTAGATGTTGAGAACATGAATCCATGTTTGGTAAGCCAGACTAATATGCTATCATGAGCACCACATTATAAATAAATATATCTTTAATATCTCCATAGTCAGACTAAATCAGTGAAAACACTTCATGCAAATAAAAGGACCCAGTCTATGGAACTCACTCCCCAATGAATTAAAATATTGTCCAAACTATACTTTATTCAAAAATACAGCCAAAAAGTACCTAATTTCATACTCATCGTTTCCTACCTTGTGGTCCAAACTCTCACTGTATCTTGTGCTAACCACTCACCCAATTTTAGTACTGAAGACATGCAACTTCACCAGTATAATAAACACTAATTATATTGTAGTTATTATGTTGAATTCAAATTTTGCTACAAAGGACCTATTAATAATCTTACCTTTATCCATTAGATTAAGAACCTGCCTGAAACACTATGAATGTTAATGGCTTTGCAAGAATGTAATAACACCAATGTTATGCACTCTCACAACTCAATGTACCTTCTTGTATATAAATAAATAAATAAATAAAAATAAATAAAAAATAAATCCATTGCAAGATGTATCTAGCATTGCATTAAGAGGGAATTCAGTGTAATAACAGTTAGTGAGATCGTCTAATAAGTGCTGAGAGCACTTCAGAGCTAGGAAGACAGAAGGGAAGAATACCAGGAAAGTTACTTTATTATTTCATATTTATGAAATAATGTAAAATTTACCTTCTCAAAGGTGAAACTAAATTCACCTTTTATTCAATTTCATGAATAGTATTGTATTTACAATAACTGTTCTTGTATTGCATATTTTATTGTGGAGTGCATTATACTGCACACATCTCACAGTCACATGACCAGGCATGTTGGCTTCAAGATTATCTTGAGGTTATCTTGAGATGATTTCGGGGCTTAGTGTCCCCGCGGCCCGGTCCTCGACCAGGCCTCCACCCCCAGGAAGCAGCCCGTGACAGCTGACTAACTCCCAGGTACCTATTTACTGCTAGGTAACAGGGGCAACAGGGTGAAAGATACTCTGTCCATTGTTTCTCGCCGGCGCCCAGGAACAAACCCAGGACCACAGGATCACGCGTCCAGTGTTCTGTCTGCTCAGCCACCGGCTCCCTTTCTCCCAGACCCACAGCACCAATACATGCAATGCTTCTTCTAGCAGTTATAAGCTCCAAACATAATTACAGTATTAGATATCCTCTTTGTAGCACTACACAAGTGAACAGAACAAAAGAAATCTGATGGAAGATAAATATCTAAGTGAACCAAATATATATAAGGAATTTCCTCAGTATTCGCCTAATTGTGTCAGTGGGCATCGAGTTCCAGCTCTATGTCATGCCGCTCACCTTTTGGTCAAATGACAATCATGTTCCCATGTCTAACTGGGGTTGTCATATAGTTGTCAAGTTTCTTAGATTAAGGACCTGCCCGAAACGCTGCCCGTACTAATGGCTTTACAAGAATGTTATTACTATGCTATGTATCCTCACAATCCCAATGTACTTTCTTGTATATATATATAAATAAATAAATAAATAAATAAATAAATAAATAAATAAATAAAATAAATAAATCTATATATGAAATTGTGTGTAGAGTCCTCCTCCACTTAGCACATTACATATGTAATGAAGAAAAGAAATGATTTGGAGGCCGACTCTATGCACGTGCTCCAAAGTACAGTATGACAGAACTCAAAGGCCTAAAAAACGGCTACACTAGTAGTGTGAAGATTATAATGCCAGGCACAGTAGCTGGAGTTCAACTTTTGAAAAGACAAATAATTGAGTACACACACACACACACACAATCTTTTTAGCTAGTCATTACCCATTTAAAAATATTTCCAATATCACTGACTATATACATATCTGGAAACACTTCAAGGACGGCCAACATGTGTCAGTTCCCATCCCCAGCAACAGCACACAATTACCTCTGCTGTTGCAGTAAACACTAAACTCTCATATATATTATCCAAAGAAGTTCCCAAATACAGTACAACTATATAAAACTTAACAAACACCATTCTTATATGATAAACACAGGTGCTAAAACACACTTATTATTAATGCAATTAACACTGCTGCTATATAACACAAATTTACTGTAAAGATAGTATAGTACTGGTAACACTGGAGGAACTCTTGCCATCCACAAGTGGACTTAGGTTGACCCTGATAGCGCCAGTTATGTTACACACTTGTGTACTGCTTCACATACAAGCGAGTTACTAGCCTTGCCATATAAATAGGCCCCAGAACTCCACCCAAGCTCATTTCGTGCCATCATTACCATGTAAGTGGATTCAGGCCATTTTAAGATATTGGCAATATTCTTTCTTGGTAAAATTCTACACTACCCAACATGTTTAGTTCATTGCCTGAAGTAGCAATGGCTTTTTGGCGAGTCCTGGATAGGGACTCTGGGTTCGAGTCCCTGTCCAGGGACTCGAACCTTGATGGGGGAGGGGGGAAATGTGTGTGCTGCTAAAGTACTGTACTTGAATTTAAGCAATTACAAAGCTTTGTGCATCTCATGTCTTTTGGTATAAAATTACTGAGAACTGGGCACTCACTCATTAATATAATGTTGAAGTGTACAGTATGCTAGTTATTTTTCAGAGTTTACAATTGGAGTGCCCACTGTCGTGAGAGTTCTTACCTGTCTTAAGTAACAATATCCCAGCCTAATTCTAGCAATTACTATATCACATTGGCAGATGCATTGTACATATAGTTCACAACTCTGAACATACTGCCTCTTTTAATACAGTACTAATGTTTTGAGAAAATCAGTAGGAGCCCTGAGGAGGATTCGAACTCGAATTCTTGGTACTCCCAAGCACATGTTCTAGACAACCACACCACGATATTGTCGAAAGCAATGCAACCTGGGATTCAACTTTTGCTTTTGACGATGTCATGGTCTAGGGTGTGTGTTTGGGAGTACCAAGAATTCAAGTTCGAATCCTCCTCGTGGCGTCTTCTGATTTTTTCAGTAATACATCACGTTAATGTGATTTCATTGTGCACTAATGTTTTCTGCGCCTTGAGTGACTGTGATTGTGCTGTCACATCTAGTTTCTGAAAGTAGTGTGGTGTTAATAATTCAGATTGGAATACATAGGTTCAGCTTGATTTCATGCTTGTTACATACATATTAAGTTGACATCTCTCTCATAATTTATATTGACTGCTAATTTATTGTACATGTTATATACAATGAAATCCCAATGTGATATATCAATGAGAAAATCTTTGGAGCAGAATGGAAATTGAACCAGCATCCTTGGTAACCCCAGACTCGTGCCTTAACCCACGATATACTGAAGATTATTAACCTAGGATCCACCCAAATCCACTAGGTGTCAGGAGGTACCGAGGTGGTATCCAATCCATATTTTACAAATAACCTGCATGCAATCTGGTATGGGTAATGGAGCTCTTTACCAAACGCTCCCTTCAAATACGTTAGGAAATAACAATAACATGATGTATCTATGAGAAAGTTTTCTCATAGTATGGACACAAAAACCACCATACTTTCTTGTAAATATTTAAATAAATGAATATATGCAAATACTGTATTGAGTACAGTATAGCCATTTGCAATTTGTCGCACAAGTGAAACCCTTCTGCCACACCTCCCCCCCTTCTTTCGTCATGTCATTCTCTCCTTCCCTACAGTGTACATGTGTCTGTTCTAATCGTGACTGTAGGTCATTTAGGATGTTTGAGACCCACCACTTTCAATATTATTGTCATTTCCCCAGCAACACCATGCCAACAAAGCCCCCCCAACACCACATGCTGACACCAACAACAAGAACTCACACCAACTTATGAGACTTCCAATCACTCATTATCTAAGTGTAGTTTACAGGATGAGAGCTATATTTGTGGTGTCTAGTCTTCCCACCACACTGTCATATACTGTAATGCTTTTAAACTACTGATGGTTTTGCCCACCACCTCACTTAAAATGTTCCAACCATCTACCACTATGTTTGCAAAAGTGAATTTTCTGATTTCCTTTGCAGCTTTGTTTAGTTAGTTTAAATCTATGGCCTTTTGTTGTTAAAGTTCCAGGTCTCAGGAATTCTTCCCTATCAATTTTGTAGATTCCTGTTACTGTACTATTTTGTAAGTAGTGATGATATTGTCTCTTTCTTCCCTCTTCTAGTTTTTGGCATATTTAACACCTCTAGCCTCTCCTCATGGCTCTTGTCTTTCAGCTCTGGGAGCCATTTAGTTGCGTGTCTTTGCACCTTTTCCATTTTGTTGGCACCATACAACTGCTGCATATTCAGACTCTGTTCTCACAAAGGTTGTGAACAATTTCTTTAGTATTTCACCATCCGTGTATTTAAAAGCAGTTCTGAAATTGGAAAGCTTAGCATAGACTCCTCGCATGATGTTTTTTATGTGGTTCTCGGACGACAGTTTTCTCTCCAGAACCACCCCTAGCTCTCTCTATCAGAATTTTTTAAAGCTTTTTCCACATCATTTGTTGGGTTTGGTGATATTAGAATTTAGGAATTCTCATGTTTGAAGTCTATGAAAACATGAAACATGATTTTGAATACAGTATTTTCATATTTTCATAAATATTGAATATTTTGATTTTGAATTTTGATTTTAATTTTAGATTTTGAATATTTTCATAAAAGAAAGGCCTTCAATATTCCATCATCCCAAGCCATTGCTTTTCTTACTACTGCATCCACTTGGGGATGCCACACAAGTGCACCAATCCACTTCCCACATTCAATTACAATTACGGTACCCCTACTCAAATCTCTGAATATGTTAGACATTAAGTCACTGCACATTCTCTCATGTGTATTATACATATATAAAACGCTAAACTATAATGCCAATCCTGATCTCAAAAGCTTCATAGAAGGTTGTAACAGAACCCATGAGCACCACACCAGAAATAAATACAGTTTTGATATTCCTAGAGTACGACTTAATCAAACCAGAAATGCTCTACAAATCAAGGGGCCCAGAATGTGGAATGACCTTCCCAACCATGTTAAAGACTGTACCTCTCTCAACCAATTTAAGTTAAAAACGAAGCTATACCTAATAAATTCCCTGTAACCTACCTTACCCCTCTGTTGTCAACCCATGTTTTTTTTTTTTTTTTTCAAATCAACGCTGTTTGAATGTAATTTTCTGTAATAATTTGTAATTGTATTTGTGCTGCTTTTTCAACAATGTTCCCCCCTCTTTTACCTCTATTTTTATTTGTACTCAACACATTTTATTCTTTTTACCCATTAGTTTTAAGCTTTAGTCATTAGTGCTTTTTCCTGCCCGAAACGCTTTGCGTAATAGTGGCTTTAGGAATTGTATGTACTAGCTCTATCTATAAAGCCAACAAACTTTGTAAAATCTCTTTATGTATGTACCTTTACCTAAATAAAAATTATTATTATTATTATTATTATTACTTAAATGTTATTTCCATTAACATTATCACTTTTGTTCTTAACATGTAATATTTTAAAATTAGATTTTATTTAGTGTTAGTACAGTACAGAATATAGTCTGGTGTCATAGGGTGGGAGGGATAGGGTCTGCAACAGTCTGTGAGAGGAAAGTGAGATGATGTGGGTATATAACATTATTCCAGGCTGTGCATTGTATTGTTGGGGGTGGTGGGGGTGGTGACAGCATCGCCCATCATCCCAGAGGCAGCTCGGGCCCTCTACTACAACCATGGAATGTTTGAAGGAGACATTAAGCTTCGTGCTGGACAGCAACCTGCGGTAACTACTATCTTGAAATGATGATTTGTATTGTACATCATTATATATGACATTCCACTGGCATTACTGTTACTATTTTTTTAATTTACTTAGAAATGAAAGATACTTTTTCAAATACTCAGTATACATAAGAGCTAACTTTTTATATATGAAAAATAATTGGTATCCTACTTATTCAGAGAGTTGGTTCAGCCATCTTGGGAGATCAATATCTCTGGCCAGGTGGTGTCATACCTTACACCTTTGCAGGTGTTAGTACGTATCAGCCTCTAATTCTATGATGTATTATTGTATAACCAAAGTGTTCATCCATATACAGTATTTTGACAAATTTCTATATCACAAAATCTCAGAATAACTTAACAACATTTTCTGGTAATCACTCAAGGAGAAATATGTTTTCTTTAATAGCAAACTCTATTAAAACATGTGTTGTCAACACGTTCAAAAAGTAACCTTTTCACCGCCAGGCAGTGCAGATCAAAGTGCAATCCTAGGTGGTATGCAAGAACTGGAGGAGAAAACATGCATCCGCTTTGTGCCTAGAACCTCAGAGTCAGACTACATTGAAATTTTCACCAGTGGTTCAGGGTGAGTCATTGAAGAGTGGAAATTATCGGTTGCAAATATCTGATTGTTGGTGCCATGACACACGTCAACTTTTGTAAACAATACTCACGCTGTGTTTAACCACCGTACTGTGCACCTGGTTTCGGCAAAAATTTCTTAGTGCAATTGTTAAGGACATATTTTTGTTGTTTTTATAAATATTCAGGTAGAGTGAATGTCAAAATATTTCCAAACTCAACTATTTCCATTTCAAAACACAAAGAGTAATGAAAATGTTAAAAAAAAAACATTAACACACAGTATAGCCTAATTAAAGAAAAAAGCACAGCTCTCAGAGTGCCTAAAGGCACTTTGTGCAGTGCAGTAGTTAAGGTAACTTTATATTGGCAGATGTTGGTCATATGTGGGACGACTAGGTGGTCTGCAGCAGGTGTCACTTCAAGCCAATGGTTGCATTTACCATGGCACCATCATCCACGAGCTCATGCATGCCATTGGCTTCTATCATGAGCACACCCGTATGGACCGAGACAACTACGTCTACATTAACTATGAAAACGTCGAGCCTGGTAAGTATACTTACTTGCTTAGGATAACGACCAGTACCTTAATACATACGAAAGATTAAAGTCAACTGCTACATAATTGATTCTTATGACTAATTAATTAATTACAGTACTAGAATTTTTCCAGAGAGCAACATTTGTAATGGCCTTGATGGTGAAAGAAAGGGATACTTATCTATCAGAACTTGCCAACCAATGTCTACAGTGGGGCGAGGTCTAGCTCTTTGTGCCTAACCTGCTACCCCTCTTGTACCTGTTGCTATAATTTATCTATTTTGGCATTTGAATTCCATGTTGAATCTGGCTATAAAGTTGATGGAGGTGGTTTCCATTACAACTGCTTTCTGGGTATTACTCCCTTGTTGACCACCCATACTGGGTATGAGTATTTCCTTACATTTTTTTGGACTCATTTGCACTTCCAGCTTCTACTTGTATCCTCTTGTCTTACATTTTTTTCAATTTGAATAGGCTGCCCTTGTCCACTTTGCTTATTCCATTCAGTATCTTATATGTTGTGATCAAATCCCCTCTTTCTTAAATCCTCTAGGGGTGAGAGATTTAGTTCCATTAGTAAATTGTCATAGCTTACTCCTCTTATTTCTGCAACAATCTTGCAAACCTCTCTCCTTATCAAATTTTGGTTTTATGCTTCAAAAGGTGCAAATTTCATACTGGTGCTGTATAATCCAGTACAATACAAACTCGTTTAAACGAACTATATGGGACCAACCCCAATTTGTTGCAACCAGAGATGCATTCCTATTCCACATGAGCTAATTTCACTTGGCAAAATTTTCAATTCAATTCAACATGTCTGCAAAAAAAATTTAACATCTAGTTTTCCTTACATTCCAACCCACAAAACTGATTTCAAAAGGTAGCAGGGCCATATCTGAGTGAACTAAAATCTTTTCAAGAGCTTTCCCAAGGCTCCAACTGTTTCTTGTAATGTTGAGTCCATATATATAAAAATCATCAAAAACATGACTGGAGCCATATTAAGAGTTACCATTCGCACCCTAATATTTCTCGCTCTCTATGGCCTGATTTCACTGAGCAATAATGTAATTTCAACCAGTCATATGAAGGACAACTACCAAGAGAACCTGTCTCAAAGAGATTTAGAGACAGGGTTCTAAATCTCTAGACAGGTGCTGGATCTTTAGATTTAGATCCAGCATATTTCTCATGTCCTAGCCTTAAAATCTCAAAGGAAAAAGTATGCATATTAACGAATGAAAACGGGAATCTCAAAATTAAAATGAGCCACAGAATTTGGTTTTAAATATGCTCAATGGCTTTCCAAAGGTCCCTTACTAAGTTTTAAATATTGTACTGTACTACCTGACAAGCCAAACAAACTTGGGATAGCTTTACACCCTCTGTCAGCCATATAAGTACCACATTATTCCTGACAATATTTGCCTCCAGAATTTTGAACAGGAATACTGTCCAAGTATTTATGGCTTAAGTGGTTAGGCAATTAAATAGATTTTTTTACCCAATGCGAGAAAAAGCATCTCCTGTTTTCGGTACTACAATGTCTTGTTGAGCTCAAAGTTATTGTCCCTTGTATGAATTGCAATGAAATTTTTAAAATTAGTGGTCTGGATTAATAACTTCCAATCCATTCAGAATTTGAAATGGTTTGACAAAATCAGCCCTACCCTATCTGATCTGTAGTTGTACTAGTCATGAGGCCCTCAATATTTCTTGATATAATAGTCTACTCAAAGTTCTGGGGCAATTTTTGTTGCTCTGCGTTGAAATTTTTTACAAAGCAGCTGAGGGCAAGGTCTCCATGCTTGGATACAGTAGTCCAGCTGGATTTGTACAGATGAATAACTAAGAATTAGATTTATTTTTAAGATTTAGTTAGCTTAGGTGCATCATAACCCCAAGGCGTTTTCTGCTTCATGGTTGTTACTTTAGTTACGATGTGCACTGTCAGGCCCGACATACAATACTGTATCTTGCATTTTCAATATTGAAAAGCATTTGCCAGTCTTCTGACCATTTGTTCAAGACAACTGTGTAAGATCTCTATGTTGTTTGTTTTTCCACATCTAGAAAGGGTCTTTAAAAAGGTTGGCTCTATGATGTAACCTTGCAGTGCTCCACTTAACATTTTTCAAGTCAGGTTTACTTTAATTTAACAATGCTTTGTTTTAACCATTCAAATATTTTCCATTTATTCCATGTGTGGTACCTCATTACAAACTTTAAAGAGTAAGTAATCCATGTACAATATATCAACTGGAAAGCCTTTGTTAAATTTGTTAACTTTTTAAAAACTGCAAGAGATTTATTTTTACAAAACCGCATGCTTTTATAAAACTCCACACCGAGATGGTGAATGACTTCCTCTTAAGGTTAAAACCACAAACTAAGTTTGCCACTATATGAGGTTAGGTCAACTGCTTTGAAATTCCTTGACAAACCTTTTCTGCCTATCTTTAAGATTTGGGGAGACATTTACATATTTCCAATCCCAGGGGGTATTTTCATGAATTTTTCTAACAGGTTTTAGTGATAAGACAGCCCATCAGCCAGTTTCTTTATGATTTTGAACTGAATTCCATCAACACCTGGAGATTTTTTTTTAATTTTGATTATGCTCTTCCTGATTATTTTGCAGCATATACGTATGCCTTCGACATTGACACGTACTCGCGCTATGTGGGTGAAGACTACCAGTACTACAGCATAATGCACTATGGCAAGTATTCCTTCTCCATACAGTGGGGAGTCCTTGAGACCATTGTTGCTCTGCAAGATGGTATTGACCTCACCGACCCTTATGATAAAGCTCACATGTTGCAAACTGATGCAAACCAGATCAACAATCTATACACAAGTGAGTGCAGCCTAAGGCAGTAGACATTATAAGGCTAACCTCTACGTACATCATGAGCTGAAGCCATCTTTAATATAACCATTTATTTAAAGAATCAAAGAAATCATTGAATGTTTACTTTCATTACCCTAATATGTTGAAATCCTCTTAAATGCAATGTTAACAAGATTATAAAATTAGCGGGAGAAGGAGAAGGTTGGATATCACCTACCAGGGCAGTAAGGAAGGCCGATGAGAAGATGACACGGGGCAGGAGTCCATAGTCTCAAGCTGAGCTCTCTCTCTTTAATAGGGATGGACATGGAAGTGAAAGTTAATGTTGGTCTGATGACCCTTGTTGTAAACACACAGAGTAATATAAGTACTGTAATAGTACTACAATCTCCCCCTTGTCCATGGTACAATTCTATATGAACACTACCATTACATAAAGTACTTTTTTTATATACAGTACAAGTAATTATCAAAAGAAGGCACCAAACTGGAAATATATACAGTACAAGAGTTGTTACATTCTTGTACACCCACCAGCACGCATACCATTTCAGGCACGTCCTTAATCCTATGTTCCCCGGAATATGACCTGTCAAATCGTTTAACAACCAGGTACCCATTTTATTGTTGGGTTAATCAACAAAAAGCATAAATGAGAAAAAAAGGATTAGGAGTAATTTGAAAGAAACAAAGAGGTACTTGGCAATAATAAGATAATAAACAATACAACTTAAGCCATTTTGAAAATAAATGTTATAAAATAAAGTGCAGCTAGAAAATTTGAAAACAATTTTACAGACATTGAGATCAAAGCAGCACTTAAATAATAAATCAATGCATCCTTCTGTACATAATGGAAATATGCTAGCATTAGCTGACACTGCCTCTGAATTTAATAGTTCTATCTTATTAATAGAAACAACCCCTGTAAAATAAAAATCCCAGCATCTTAAGTCAGATCAAATTAATTACTAGTAACTATCCTAATTCATCATTTTATTTATATATATATATATATATATATATATATATATATATATATATATATATATATATATATATATATATATATATATTTATATATATTTATATATATTTATATATATTTATATATATTTATATATATTTATATATATTTATATATATTTATATATATTTATATATATCTATATATATCTATATATATCTATATATATTATATATATCTATATATATCTATCTACCTATCTATCTCCCCCACCATTAGTTCTTCAGATGTTGCTAACATAAGCCGCTCACTTGAAACTACAGCTTACCATTCTGAAATACAACCTATAATTTATTAAAAAGCCTCAAGTGTTTTAGTGTTAGCATTATTCTACAATAAATCACTAACTCGAAGCTTTCCTATATGTCATGCAAGACAGAATAATGCAAGTCCATGACAGTAGCTTCAGGACTAGCACTACAAACCAGACATGACAAGGGATGATCATCAAAGCCTTTACAAATACTGAACAAATTGGAAGATATTAACTTACCACTTCTTAAAAAGGACCAATGTATCTTACATATGGAACTACAGCTTCAAGCTCAATACAGGATAATGTAGAACAGAAACACGAGATGCCTTTCACCCATAGCTAATAAACCCATGAATTCGCCTGTCCGTAGAGGTCATAAATACCAAGAAGATACTCCAGGTTAAAATTAAACTACATAATCATCAGGAATTATGGGGCAGGGAGGGGGGGGGGAGGAGGACCACTGAGAAGTGGGTGAGTGGCTTCTTGTACCCACTGAGGCCAATAGAGATGGTGCCCCTCAGGTAAATACAGGAAACTATATATCCAAATTATTTGAGAAACTGATACATGGACAGTTTTACTCCTACCTAGCCATATAAATATTTCAATTTGGCCAATTTGGCTTCAGACTCCTAAAGAGCACCAATTATGCCATAAATATCCTTGGTTTCACATCAATTGTGACACTAGCTCTCCACATATGTCAGTTGCTTAATTTAGAAACTACTTGTGGTCGATCTCGAACCCATTGTTGATGTGACGACTTATACTGAATTTTGTACCTCGCTCATCAAGATTGTAACTTGCATAGGTAAATGAATTGTGGGGTTCAGTCCCTGAGCCCATTATGTGCCTCTGTAACCCTTTCCACTACCGCCCACAAGATGGGTATGGAGTGCATAATAAATGAACTAAACTAACTTGGTTTCATGCATTTGGCTCATGATGAAAATTAGTAGCTCATGGAACTACATATCTGAAAACCTTTAACAGGTCTTGACATTGAACATTATAATAATATTCTTTAAGTATTATTATCATGGAATCAAGAGTCAGACTCTACAGTACTCTACATGCAATCTTCTCTTAGTAAAATACCCCAATAAATTGACCTTGAATGATGCTAATTCTCCATTTTTGCTTAATAATATTGCTGCTTCCTGGGGAAGCATTCTTGGCCAATTCTTTTTATCTACATTAATGCCCAAGCAAATGCTACCCAACACCATAAGCCTATACTATTTGCAGATAACCTTTACCTTCTCAGCTACTTACTAAACATATTAAATGGTATGGAAAATGTCAAACTCAATAAAGTTCATGTCTGTAGACTAACAAACTCACTCTCTCAATATTGATAACAGAAGTATGTAGTATGTCTTAAAGTAAACCTACCAGGTAAATAGAGCTAAGAAAAAGTAATTATCAAAAGAATGCACCAAGCCAGAGATATTATAAGAATAATATCAAGAAGCAACTGGAGTTCTATGACCCAGAGCCCACACAGACCCATAATGAGACTAACTCCTGGCAGCATAGAACCCTTTAAATCCTGGAACATGCTGAATGTAAAATCACTAAAAAAATTTTTAGTACAGTACTAAATTTACACAAGTGCTGCTAATATACAGTGGAACCTTGAGTCAACGAACCTCGATTCAGTGAAACTCTAATTGGAACACATTTCCCATGCTAGATTTACTTGTCTGATTCAACGAACAAGAGTTTGCTGAGGCCAGGAATGTGTGGATTTGCTTCTGATGTTGGGACTGAGTTCACAGATGGAGGCAATATTACTAGATACAAGTGGGTCCTTGGGAAATCCATTGAGCACATTTAAAACCAAATTTTCTGCTTTTTTATTTCCAGTTGCAGAGGTTTTTTGTTCAGTAAAATACGAGGCCTTTTTACTTTGAATACCAGATTTTGAGTCTTGGGCGTGACAAATTTGTTAGATGTGGTTAAATCTCTTCACAGACAGGTTCTCTTGGTTGTTGCCGTTCATATGACAGGTTGGAACTATAATTTTGCTCACTTAAATAAGCACATGTAGTGGGGGGGAAATATTAGATATAAATGGACACACTTGATATGGGTCTAATAATTTTCTTAATGATTTTACTTTGGCATTTTTTTTATTGGGCATTTGGAATTTTTTGTTAGGCTTTTTTTTTTTTTTTTTTTTTAGCCAAAATGTAACTCTTGATATGCTCCAGTCACATTTTATTTAGGATTTTTGTAGATGGATTCAACATTACAAGAAACAGCTGGAGCCTTGGAAAAACTATTAAGAATATGTATTTAAAACCGAATTATACAGTTTGTTTTCATTTTGAGTTAGCAAGGTTTTCGTTCACTCAGGTATAGCCTTGCTACCTTTTGAATGTGTGTTTTGAGGTCAGGGATGTGAGAAATGAGCTAGATGTGGTTAAATTTTTTTCAGATATGTTCATATAATAACTATTATATGTTGAACTTAAAATTTTGTAAAGTCAAATTAGCCCAAACGCATTTGAAAAACATCCTGGAGACGTCTCCAATTGTAATGAATCCTACACTGCAATGAAGTGTGTTTGGTCCCATACAGTTCACTGAATCGAGGTTGTACTGTATACGGTAGATAAAACAAAATATACATTACCCAGTATTAAGTGCCCCAAAAATTATGTAAATCTACCATTCAAATTCTAAAATTAGTAATTTTACCTCAACTGCTAATCATAAATTTTAACATGCTCTACTTAAAAAAAAATTCCACAGCATGTAGAATATTAATAAAAAATTCCACAACATAATTACCAGAACAGTGTGTATATTATATTATATATTATATATATATATATATATATATATATATATATATAAAATTTTGTTTTGTTTTTAAGATTATTTACAAGGACAACCTTAAAAATATTATATGCAAACCTATCATTTATAATTTTATAAATAGTAATTACATATCTGTTAATCAAACTTGAGTATGTAATTCAGTATAATTAATTAATACTGAATTTAATAATTTTTAATAACGTTAGTAATTCTAAACTACAGAATTGTGTGACCATAATAAGGTTAAAAAGATTTACACAAAATGCTATGTAAACCTAGTGGCCTTGTAAACAAAATTGATCCTTGCAATGCACATGCAAATGCTTTAATCTGATTATTACATATTCTTTACAAATGCAAATATTTATACTCTTCTTCACATTTCAAATGTTTTGAAATTACAAACACATTATTCCAACCCATCCTCATGTTTAGATAGTACTTTCTGTAATTATATGGACGAGCATACATATATTGATATAATAGACAATTACAGTAGATATTCAGTATCTACTGAATACTACAGTATAGCATGAGTAATATACTAACATAAGTAATATGTATTTATTAGGCCTCAGATAGCATTTAGTAGCTCGAGGATGGTTAGGTTAGTTTTATTAGCAAAAGAAATACAAAGCCTTTTCTGGTTTGTCCAAATTCAAAAGTACCATATTTTACTTTCTAATTGTCCTTTATGTCAATTTATGTACTGACCCACACCATTATTATAAGTACTTTCTAAACAGGAGGATAGGCTGGATTATTCTTTTTTTTTTAATTTCTTCATTTATCAGTCTGCTGTGTATTATTTAATATTTTTAATAATAGTTTTTTCCATTTCCATTCCATTAGTGTACTTCTGTCATCCTTTTTGAACCTGCAAGTATTGCTGCTTCTCTTTCTACTTTAACTCTTGATTGGGATCTTCTCTGGTTTCTCGTCTTTGGTTGCATTCTTCATGTCACCAAGTCCATTCTTTACCAGCTGTTGAAATTTCTGAAATTGTTTTATAAATTCCTCCTCCATAAATAATTAGGACAATAACAAAATGGAGAAAACTTACACATATTGGGTCTTTCCTTCACCTTCAATATAAATTTTTTTAAATAAATGAACTGTACATACAGTTACTGTTGAAAAAGCCAGAAACCTCGTTCCAGCTGCCCATTAGCGGAGAAATAAAAGTCACGTCAATTTTTACTGTATTGCTATAAAATAAAAGCAAGTCAAGAAATACATGATGTATGATTGGACTTGGTTTCTCAGGGGTGGGGACATTAACCCTGTCAGGCTTATCTGTGCACCTCAAGGGCCAATTACCGACTTTTTCCAGGATGCTACAAATAACATTTGCCTAACTCCTGGTACCTATTAACTGCTAGGTGAAGATGAGACTCAAGTGAAAGGAAACACTGGTCAAGTGCTTCTTTCCTGCCATTGGAATTGCACCAGGGAACTTTCAGCAGAGACCAGACTTCACGTATTGCATTACTGGGTTTAAATCGTCGAGAAGCAAAAGCCTGTACATAAAACGAGAGAAAAACCTGGGACTGGATTTAATCCCAACACTAATGCCAGATCCTCATGTGATGAGAATAATGTCAGAAAAATACATGAAATTGGCAAATATAAAAACGGCATTTAATTCTCAAAAGTGCAATTATCATCACACATGGATCCCATGGGTAATGCAGTTATCATTTGCCAATTTTAGCTATTACTGCATGATTTTTATAGTAATGTAAATATGACTATAATACATCTATATGGATGCAGTAGAGTTAACCAAGACCTGTTAAATATTCTATCTCTTTTCATTGCATAGCATGTGATGAGGTTATCACATACTCTACTAGTGGCCTGAGGTAAAATACTGTAAAGTCAATTCACAATTTGGTCCTTTCCTTCCAGCGTTCGAATATATTCCTGGGAGATGTTACTTGACAGAATGGCGGTAAAGGAGTGAGTTGAAACGCCTTCTTTAAGCTGTCCCAGGGACAGGTTTATGTATTTTATAGGTGTACATATTACATTGCAGGCCTAAATACAGTACCCACTGTTTCTGTCAATTCTGTTTACATAAATAAAATTATTCACCACAAAAAATACATCAAGTAAACAAACAAGTGAACTCGCAAACAAAAACCATCACACTTGATCATTCGATCCCTCTCACACTACGAGTCTGCAAACTATGTATTCAATATACACTCATTCCACAGACTACTATGTACACCTCACTGTCATACTTTGGCATGCAACGTTAATGTTTTAGTTTACTTCATTAATTATGCACCCCATACCCATCCTGTGAGCATTAGTGGGAAATGTTACAAAAAACCATAATGGGCTCGGGAAGTTTTCTACAAGAATAAATTATCATGACCTTTTGTGCACATGCAGTGGCAATTTTGCAGATAGCTGTTCTTTGAGGGTTGAGGACACAATGAAAACTTTAGCATTTAGAAATGTAATTAATGTGCCAGATATAAATGCTACTGCCCAAGTCAAACAATGAAAATGAAGAACAAGATTACCCAGTCCCCTCAATAGAGTAGCCATCTTGGAAAATATTAGAATACAAATATATATATATTATATATATTGGTATATAATACATGCATAATGATAAAGGTATTTCTGTTATTGCATATTTCGTATATTATGATGTTCTTGGACATAAGCTTCAACATCTTTCAGCATCTGTTGTAGTTTGTGTGCTTACTCTTTTGCCCAACTGTGCGGTGTGTTGGCATCTTGCAGCTCTAACTACAAATCTTGATTAGTCTGTTTTCATGTAAACCACACATTTCATTATTATAATTGTAATTTCCTCTCTGAATTGTTGCAACCTTTGCTTTTGTATTAGTTCAGTTATGGAGTGAAATGAGTTGAGTAAAGATTTTTGTAGCACTCAAGCATTTCATTAGAGTTATTTTAGGTAGGTAGAGTTATTTTTAACAAAAATAACTATCTGTTAGGCAAATTGGGCCTTGCATAATAGTTCCCCGAGTAGTGCAATTCTGGCTATTAGGTATGACATATGCATACATACGTATACATACACACACACACACATCCTGGGAACCATTGTTTGTGTCACTATCCTTCCAACAGAGTCATGAATCCATAAATCATTGTTTATTGTCACTAACCAGCACTTCTCAAAATACAGGGCATAATTCAATCTCGTGTACAACACGTCTTCAAAACTGACCAAAAGCTCTTCAATTTAGCAGCTGTTCCCATGTTTATGAATGAACAGCGCTTTACAAATGGATCAACCAATGACATTTTAGTGTTCTTTAAAGTGCTTCACTCACTTATGGTTGCAGTTCGCTTTTCTAAATGCTCCACTCGCATACAGAGATGCAACTAATTGCCAACAGTACCAGAAAACTGTATATAGCCTAACTTCACTTTAACTAAGATATAGTAATAGCTTATGGATGTGTTATTCAGAACGTTTCACCCAAGTGCTGTAAATACAAATAATCTAGATACGTACAGTATAGTATACCCTTGTACGAAACCATATACAGTATATGGGTGTGTGTATGTACATGTATATGTGTGTATATGTATGTATGTATATATATATATATATATATATATATATATATATATATATATATATATATATATATATATATATATATATATATATATATATATATATATATATATAAAATGGCATTTGAGTAAATACCCAAATTTGTTCATAGTAATATAGAAAAAATAAGGAATTCTCCTTAGTAAAAGGCAGCATCATGGACAAGTATGGCTTGAGGGCATTGCACTAGCTGTCAAACTGTCCAAATCACAACCCTTTCAAAAACAGATAAGCTATAAAAATTCTTCCGTGTCTTTACACTAACAGATGCTAAAACACGGTCATCACACACACACACACATTTCAATTCTTCACACAGCATATAAAAATTACAATAAATATTCATGCTTGCACTCTATAACATAACCTCAGGCATCTCAAACATACATGATCCAATTTCAATACAACCTAAAATATTAAAGCAGTGTAGTTATGTTCAATTTCCTACTGTGATCATTCACCATTTGCTAAGTCACATAAATCTAGCTATTCAATTTTATAGTACCAACTACTTCCATATTGCATATGTTAAATACAATATTATATTAAAAGTTAACAAGGAACAAAATGCAGTAGGCTACAGATACTCTAATGGTTTTGAATTCATGGAAATCAACTTTTAAGAAGCTTTTCTTTAAGAAGAAATTCCTATAAAACAAAAGTTATACATTTTGCAGGTTTAAGGCTAAACATTCAATAGCTATGACTAATAAATAGGATTTGTTAAGCTATATTTTAATTACACTAAGAAACAACTACACAGAGAGATCTGCCACTGGTGATTAGTGTTATGTCAGCATATCTAAAGAACATACACTTGAGAATTTATGCACACTTCCAATAGTCTACCTAAACAGCAAACATTGTTTAATGAAAAGGTTTTGTTAAACACTTACTTCCTGTGGAGTTTCATCATTAGAAATGCCGGTGTATCCAATCTTTCTGGTAATGAAGTCCCAGTAAGGAACGACTAGGTCCATAATCTTTTGCTTATGGAAGTATGCAATAGCTAATAACATGGATGATGTGAACACTAAGAAGAACGACAAAGCACCAATGGTGGACGAGGAATAACCAGAGTGGTGATGGATGATGTTCACGTGATCGTCGTGGAAGCTCTCGCTGTTTCTGCTGTTGGTCTTTATTTTACTGCTGCTTGCAGGACAATCCAGCTCATGCACCTGCAAAAGTCTCCGTATCAAAATATGCTACCACATGCTCAATTTATATATATTAATTACATGCCTAAAAATATAAGTTCAATAGTGATAAATATATCAGTATCATGGACAAATTTGTATAAATCTAAACCTACCTCATTCAATAGTTTTCCTATGTTAGATTCAGGATAGCCATCAATACATCTGTATTTCTCCCAGTCTATCACTTGGACGGAAGTTGTGTTTAACCAATTGAGGAAGTTTTTAGAACGACAATCACAAACAAAGGGATTCTCAGCCAGTTTGACATGAAGATAACCGGCAGTTTTACTCTTCATAAAACTATCTAGATCAGCCATGGCACGATCAGAAAGCCTGGAAAAGAACGCTGAATTATTTCTAAAACACTGTTTCTATATTTTTGTAAATTTTCACCCTCTCCATCATGGAAAGGGAAAGCAAGCACCAGCAAAAGGAAAAGTAAGACAAAAAACTAAATATTATAAGTTGCACACATCTTTCAAACCTTTAACCTCCTGCTGCCCTTTCCTCCTCCTCCTCCATCTGCACAATGTTTTGGAGGTGCCATGATGATAATATAATTTGCATGCATAAAACGGAGAACTGTGAGGAGTCTAGGTCTTATGAGGCATCACACTGAAGAGTCTAATTTCCTCACAATAGTATCCCACCATGTGCTACTAACCTAATATGGTACTGTACATGTACTGTATGTGGAACTGTCAGAGTTGATGCTACTATAATAGTTTTGAATGACAAATAAGCCTATATGAGAGTGCACACATGACCAGGTTGAGGGGCTGGGTTACCTTTCATTAAGGTCAATATTTAAATGGGTAACATTCCCAATATCCTAGCGAGTCAGCATGTGCATTTGAAAATTATCCTTGCAAAATATTTATTGCTTAAACATTATCTTATCATTATCACTTCTCTTGGAAGCAAGTACTGTAAAGTATTCTTTTTGTGAAAGGATATTAAGGTAAATATTTTATGAAAACATGTAACAATTGAAATGAAAAAATACCTAATCCGTAGATACAATAATTATTATGAAAAGCTACAATACACTGCTTAACTATAAATAACTTCAATCCCCGTTCTGTCAGACACACAACACAAATGAAAATTTATGATCTTTGAACTTGTGCAGAGTAAAGACTGATTACAAATAATTTGTGTAAATAAAAAGAGTAACAATCACAGAAGCATAATCCCTATACCGATTCAAACATTAAGGTGATGTGGTTCAAGAGGCATCACAAAAGGCAGTTAATCAAAGTACATTAAATACAATTAGGCAAGAACATGCAAAAGTACAATATTTTATACTTGTCTTACCTAGGAATCATGTTCCTCTCCAAGTCAATATATCTTAGAGAGTGGAGACAATCAATACGGAAGTCAAAATCGATAAGCCTATTGTCACCCAAAAGTACCTGTTCCAGATACTCCAGCTGACAAAACACCTTCGCATTGTTACCTATGCTCCAGATCTCATTTTGCTCCAGATGTAATATTTTCAGGTAACTGTAGAGAAAAAGGTGGTAAATAAGGTTAAATACACAATAAAGCAAAAAATAAAAAACAAAAGGAAGGGGGTGGTTGGAGAAAAGCATCCAGAAACTGTGTTGGAGGGGACCTAAACATTCCCTCTAATGCATTTGTGTGTGGTTTCCTCCGAGGCTAAGGGTCTCCTTTCTTCCAGCTGAGGTGGTACTCCCTTCTAAAAAGGTGATTATAATTATTTATTAATTTAGCATACTTTATTGTATACATACTATCTATGTATATGTATATGGTACATACTATGTAATCGGTTACTTTGTTCCAGTGCAGTTTTCTATTTTTTTTTTTTTATTATGCTAATACCACAGGTGGCATTGTGGACATTTGTTTTTCACAATAGAACATAAATATAAAGCAAAACAAAGAAATCCTATCGCCCCATCTGAATCAGCTCCCATTTATACCCACACATTTATATACGGTACATGTCTAACCTGTGTTTTAAACAACCCAGCGATCCATGTTCTGTATTTGAACAGGTAATTTGTTCCATAAATTGACAACTCCATTTCCAAATCAATATTTACCCAGGTCTTTTCTGAATTTAAACTTATCCACTTTATATCAATTAATTTATTCTGTTGGAGACAGGAAGCCTTTGTACAGTATATATATTTTAGGTTTCTATCAAGGTCCCCTCTAAGGTTAAACTACTGACCCAGCAACAGTTGCCTAACTCCTAGGTACCTACTTACTGCTAGGTGAAAAGGCATTAGGTAGGTAGGTAAGATGAAATTGTTTATGTAATAATCTAAGATGAGGTCTGATAAAGACCTTTTGTGCCCTCTGTAATGCTTTTGCGCTACCGCTCACAGGATGAGTATAGGGTGCACAATAAACTAGTTGCCTTCGGCGGCAACAATCAAAATCAAAGGGGCGAATGATACAGACTTCCAGGGGGTTAAGGAAGTGGGTGAATGACACAAGCTTTCAAGAGCTAGAGGGAGCAACTAAATGATATAGTATCTACAGAGCTCAAATGACAATCACAGTGCTTAACTAAAATTCAATATGTTAGATTTCAGAAAAATATAAGGACCCCCATACTTTTAGCAGTCTTCCTGTCTGCCAATGCCCCTACATATATGTATATACCAACTCATACAAATTCAAGTAAAATTGCATGCATGCACCCTCTCACTGGGAAGATGGGACACCACGAGCATAGCTCTCATCCTGTAACTACACTTAGGTAATTACAGTACACTTACACACGAGCACACACAACCTTGGTAACCTTGTATACGTCACATGTCAGACTAATACTGGAATATGCGGCTCCAGCCTGGAGTCCATACTTAGTTAAACACAAGACAATGTTAGAGAAGATTCAGAGGTATGCCACCAGACTAGTCCCAGAACTGAGAGGTATGAGCTACGAGGAAAGGTTAAGGGAGCTAAACCTCATGTCCCTGGAAGACAGAAGAGTAAGGGGAGACATGATAACCACTTACAAAATTCTCAGGGGAATTGACAGGGTGGACAAAGACAAACTATTTAGCATGGGTGAACACGAACAAGGGGACACAGGTGGATACTTATTATCCAAATGAGCCACATACAAAAACTTTTCAGTATCAGAGTAGATAACAAATGGAATGCATTAAACAGTGATGTGGTGGAGGCTGACTCCATACACAGTTTCAAATGTAGATTTGATAGAGTCCAGTAGGCTCAAGAATCTGTACACCAGTTGATTGACAGTTAAGAGGCAGGACCAAAGAGCCAAAGCTCACCCCTAACAAGCACAACTAGGTGAGTACACACACACACACTCACGCACACACACGATAGGTAGGCCTATACATGACAATACCGTACTTCTTACATGAGATCACTTTCATAGAAGATGTCTTCTAAGCTCAGAAGATAGTCAGAGGAATTGATCTTCTCTGAAAATGCATTTGTCAAATGAAGACGCTCCAGGTTTTCAAAATTACTGAAGACTCTGGGCCTTTCTCGCTTGTCTGTAATTTCTAAGTCATTGTGGTCCAGAATCAGATTTTTAACATTGTATACCTGGAAAAAAAGACATAGCAGTGCTTTAATAAACAGTAAAAAAAAAAAAAAAAAAATGTACACATGTACAAAGTTATCATCCTTAAATGCTCTCAACTCTTTAAGACATAACTGTAACATGCTCGTGTCCGAAGCTAGACACAAATACAACAAAATTACTAAGGATGGTAACAGAGTCCATTTCATGTGGTCTCCATCTCATGTTGGCCTCCGAATGCATGATAGAGCTGATAAGTTAGCCAAAGAATCTGCCTTTAAGGAGCCGTTGAGTGTAACCTTGGATTGTCAATGAGCAATCTGAGAGCAGCTGTACACCGAGAACTTCAACAAGATCTTGTAGATCTGAGGCAAAGTGAAATTGACACCAGTAATTCCATCTATCATCATACTATCATGCAAGAGGAGCCACACATCTATGGATCATCCAATAAAATCAGCAGACTTCTAGATGTTACTACTGCTCGGCTTAGACTCGGTTACAAGTATCTCTGGGAATTCTCATTATCTGCTGATGTAGACCTGACCAAATGTAAACTGTGTCAACAAAATTATTCGCACACCCTCCGTCACTATGTGATGGAGTGCGAAAAGATACGTGAATTTAGAGACAATTCTATAACCAATGTTCCAGCGATGTGTCAATATTTCATTCAAAATGATCTGCTACCAGAAATTTTAGCCAAATATCCCCAGTTTGCTAACTGTAGGTAGTAACTAAGTGATTGTAACCTATCCACCGCTACTCACTGGATGGGGGGCGGTGTGCAGGACAAACATATAAATTTTGACACTAGCTCTCCACATATGTCAGTTGCTTAATTTAGAACCTGTACTTGAGGTCGATCTCGAACCCATTGTTGATGTGATGACTTATATTGAATTTTGTAACTAGCTCATCAAGATTGTAACTTGCTTAGCTAAATGAATTGTGGGGTTCAGTCCCTGAGCCCATTATGTGCCTCTGTAACCCTTTCCACTACCGCCCACAAGATGGGTATGGGGTGCATAATAAATGAACTAAACTAACTAAACAAAGTTAATAAAATCCAAAAACTGTATTCTTATTTTAATACATATTATAAGGTACCATTGTTCATTAACGTACTGTAAAACTCTTGTTCAGTTATAGGAAGTATTATTAAACTTTTATACAATACAGTACTGAGAATATAAATACATGATTTGCTTACAACAATTGCTAAAAAATTAAAGTGGGTCCTAAGGCCTACATGCATCTATTTCAGTACAGTACTTACACATTCTTGAGCAGTTACAGAACCACATAGGACTGCACAGGTTACTAACTGTGTAAAAAGACTATAGTTCCAGTTTCTATATCCAATTTGAAACCATGCATTGAATCCATATGATCAGGGATCAATCAAATCAATCAATTTAAGGGTCCCAGTAGTACAGTCGAGTTCGTTCTCGACGCACAATTGAGAATTCCAGGTTCGAATCCCGGGCAGAACAGAAATGGTTGGGCACATTTCTTTTCACCTAATGCCTCTGTTCACCTAGCAGTGAGTAGGTGCTCAGGAGTTAGTCAGCTTCTTGTGGGGTTGCATCCTGGGTGGGATCAGTAATTCGACCTTGCAAAGGAGGAGGGCTCGATAAAAGCCAAAATATGTATGAACATACACTGGCTTCCTGTCCCCCGACAATGAATTCTTATTCTTATTACTGTACTAGTACTATTAAATGATATAGATATCTACTAACAAAAAATATCACATCATCCTAGGTGATGACTTCAACATTGACCTGTCAACAAACAAGCCCCCCCAAAGTCGAATACTTTCTAAACAGCATCAACTCCTGATTTACCCTAGGGCCACTAACCCCTAGTGGCCTCGATAAGGACAGGAAGCCAGCAGCTTGTTGAAGGCCCCCCTCCCCATTTGCCTTCATCTTTTCCAGGTATATTTTTAAATTCTGTACAGTTAGGCAGTTCCTGTCAATTCTTTCCCATCTTGGTCTCTGAATGCATGATAGAACTGATGAGTTAGCCAAAACTTTTGCTCATAAAGAGGGAATTGATTACCATTTTAGACTGCCTTTAAGCAGCCTGAGGGCAGTAATATTCCGGGAATATTAACAAAATCTCGTAAACTTCAGGCAAAATGAAATTCACACCAGTTACTGCATCTATCATTCCATTATGAAGGAAGAACTGCATGTCTATGGGTCATCCATAAGGTTAGCAGACTTCAAGATGTTACCACTTACAGGCTACAAATACCTCTGGGAGTTTGTAACATCTGCTGATGTAGACTTGACTAAATGTAAACTCTCAGCAGAACTATTCGCATACCTTGCGTCATTTTATAAAGGAAATGTGAAAAAATTGTGAAATTCAGAGATAACACCATCAATGGTGTCCAAGAAATGTGTAAGCACTTCATTTATAATGATGTGCAGCTGGGAACCCTATCTTTTTTTTTTTTTGAGAGATATATACAAGAGTTGTTACATTCTTGTACAGCCACTAGTACGCGTAGCGTTTCGGGCAGGTCCCTGGAATACGATCCCCTGCCGCGAAGAATCGTTTTTTCATCCAAGTACACATTTTACTGTTGCGTTAAACAGAGGCTACAGTTAAGGAATTGCGCCCAGTAAATCCTCCCCGGCCAGGATACGAACCCATGACATAGCGCTCGCGGAATGCCAGGCAAGTGTCTTACCACTACACCACGGAGACTGTTACTGTTACGGAGACTATCAAAGTACTGTATCCCAAATTTGCTTACTGTAGGTAATGCATTTACATGACTATAAAGCTGCTGCCCAGGTGGGTGGGTTTGGAGCAAGACTAATAACTGTATGACTCACCATAGATGTAAAGTGCCTTGTATAGTGACCTGTGAGCCTCTTGCTGAATCACTTGTGATATAAAATGATAATTGATATGTATATGTATTTGTGTAAATGATTGTATATACAGTATATATATATATATATATATATATATATATATATATATATATATATATATATATATATATTTTTTTTTTATTTACATATATACAAGAAGGTACATTGGGTTTGTGAGAATACATAGCATGATATTTACAATCTTGTAAAGCCACTAGTACGCACAGCGTATATATGTACATGCGTATGTAACATTGTAACATTAACAATTGTGTAACTAGCTTCAAAAGACTGTCACTTGCTTAGCTAAACAAACTATGGGGTTCATGCAGTTCCTGGACCGATTATGTGCCTCTGTAACCCTTTCCACCACTGCCCATGGGATGGGTATGGGGTGCATAATAAAGAGAAATTAAATTGATAAAGGGCTAACTACATCATAGCTTCAAGGTCAATGTTGGCCAAGGGGTCAAAGAACCCATTATAATATCACAAAAGTTCCACAGAATTAGTTAAAAAAAAGTTACTGAAAGTGCCTTACCTTGTGAAAGGTTTTACCCTGAATAAACCGTAAATGGTTATTGGACATGTCAATGGTCTCCAAATCATCGAAGTTATTGAAGTTGCTGAACACATTAAATGGAAGCTCTGGCACAGTATTGCCATTAAAGATGAGAACTTCAGTTCTGAGGAATAGGGATATATTCTATTATAATATCAGCAGCCATGCATATCCAAACCTTACTTACCCTACATTACTTACAGTTTGCTACGAATTATAATGCAAGACCACTTTTGCTCTACATACTTTATTATACTACTATAGTAGTACAAACTACATAGCCTTCCAGGTTTGGTGCTTTCTTTTTATAATTACTATTATAGTATAATATAGTATTATACTAACAGGCTTACAACTTACAAAGCATATGAAAGATAAATACATAAATATAGGATACAGCTTACTAACATTTTACAAAGTTCTCATTTAATAAAAATAATCTACAGCATATACTATACAAACTGCACCGAAAATATTACTGCACAAGTATTCTACATTAGAATGACCTTCAGAACAATTAAACTTACTGCACTGGGAGATCACGAAGCATGGAGGCATTA